GAGGGTGAAACCTTAACGGGCTCCTGATTTTCTGCACGCACCGCCAAGCGGACCGTTGCAGAAATCAATTTGTTAGGAGGTCGCGTACGCCCCCCAGTCCGGATGTTGGCTCGAAGCTCCTTCAACGATCTCCAGCTTTCCTTAACAAGCGCTTTTCCTCGATTCTCGGGTAGGGCACCGATACGATCCTTCAGAGGAATCCTAAACTTGGGGAAATCCACACTGCGGTAGGACTTTACTGGAGGTTCGGGATCTAAAGTTGACGAAGGCCGAAAAGCAACGTCGCCTGCTTTTGCCTTAGGCGCTGATTTGGCTTTTGGCACCCAAACTTGTTTGGATCTCGGCGATCTCTTAACTGCCTCTTCCTTTTGCATTTCTTGTGCTTTTCGCACAAGGGTCCGGACAAGCGTAAGCAAGGTGCGACGCTTCTGGATTCGCTCCTTGAGAGTAGAACGGGTTCTTTGGACACGAACCCATCCGTTAATTGGAGATCGAGAGGAGGATTCCGATGCTGGTCGTGGCGACAGATTAGCCACTTGGCACTTTCTGAGCTCCAGATCTGCTTGGGAACCCATTCGTTAATTGGAGATCGAGAGGAGGATTCCGATGCTGGTCGTGGCGACAGATTAGCCACTTGGCACTTTCTGAGCTCCAGATCTGCTTGGTAATGGAGACCATCCATCTGATCCAAAGCCTTGGCGAATTGGCGCGTGAGGCGTTGTCATTTTCTTTGACGTGCTCTCTTTGATAGAGTTGGCGCGCCTTTAGCAGTCGACTCCTTAATCGTGAAGGAGTTCAGATCTGCAAATTTGGCTTCATTGAACGCCGGTGGATCATTGCAAAGTGCAACAGCAACAGCGGCGGGGAGATCGTCTTCTTGGATCTTCAGATCTGAAGACCAGCAGAGGAGAGGCAGATCTGGAGGAGGAGGAGGAGACATAGTCCTCGAACTTTTGCTGGTCGAACTCGTATTCGACCTCTTCGAGCACCGGGATCTTGATCGTCGGCTGCGGCACGACAGCTTCGGCAGCGAAGCTGTTGGCTCCCACTGTGGTCGCCAGTTTGTTTACGGTAAAAGTTAATGTTTTCATTGCTATCGAATCTATTACAACTTTAGTTGTTACAATAAACTCAAATAAAATAAAAAGTTGATCTTTTTATAAGATCTCCTTACACAATGAAAATAAAACAAGTTTACAACTTTATCAAACAAACGCAGAGGTTGTTTATCGGTCTTCTGCTTGCGTGGGTGTCTTTGCCTGTGCCGGGGTTTATCCGTGGACCACCGTCGATCAGATCTGATTGCTAAAAAATTGGGCAGAGCTTCGTCGATCCGCGAGGAGATCTAGAAACTTGAAGCGCCTATCTCGGATAAAGCGAGATATTTGCTCTTCTTAGTATTAACACAACGGGATAATTCTAAGGATTGGATGCGGGTGATGTAGATCTGACGAATCTCTCTCTCTTGCGTTGAAGAACTAGATCCGATCTCTCCTCCTCCTCTCTTGAAATCTATGTGTCTCCCAAAATCCGAGACACCCTAGGGTGTCTCGGCTTTGGCCGAGACACTTCGTTGTGGTGTATTCGTCCGCTTCCGCTGTAAATTCTTCGTCCGAACTCGGATTTTAGTGATTCGAAGTGCGTTGGAAGTCTGACGAAGAGTTCTATCAGCTCCAATGGTTGGATTATCTGTAGAATGAATGAGACACGAAGGGCATTGTTCCCTTTGTAAACATTGCGGGGCTCCCGATTAGCCCGCACCTTCGTTATTCCGGAATTCTGTCAGCTCACGTAGTTCGTCGGTTCACTTCAAGCGTTCACCGACGTCAATCGAACTCCTGTGAACCGGATAGTGACATTCATCGTCATTCCTTAACACTGAGCTGTTCGTAGAGACCTATAGGCAATTTTTGACGCCTACAGTTATGAGACCACTCGACCAGTTATTTGACACCTCGCGGGGTCTGTAGGCGTCAAAAAATGCTTACAAACATTCAAATACCACTCAAGGTAAAGAGAAGGTGATAAACGCCATTCTCTTAATCAGAAGGAGATCATTCAAAGGAAGCGAGACAACATGGAAGAACAATGTACACACCAACAGGCAGTACATGACGGCGCGGATGAGGCGCGGCAGTACATGGTTCTGCGGCCTAAGGTTGCGGCTGCCTATTGGCTGCCAGTGGCTAAGGCGCGGAGCCTATGCGTGCTCAGCCGGCTATTATAAAGGGTGCTTTGCGGCGTGCTTATAAAGCAATTATACGATGATTTTTTGAAGCCCACGTGGCGGCATGTCAGAAATAGAACGTGTGGTGACGTGGACAAGCAGTTAAACCACGAAAAAAGTGGTTAAAAGTCATGGGAGAACAGTTTCAAACACGAAGGAACGTGGGTGTAACTGTCCCTTTAGCCGCGACAGCCTACACTGCCGCGGCAGTGTTGATTAACGCGGCCAAAGAGCAGTTATTTTGTTAGTTCTTGCGCCCCCATTTCCATTGTGGTGTACTCCTACCCCTATAAATACCCCCTAGACACGAAATAAAGGAGAGAGAGCGGATTGGAGCATAGAGACTCGGGCTTTTAGTGATTTTGAGGAAGAGAGAGAGTCTTCATTCTTCATAAACACTTCAAGAAGCTTTTGGCGATTCCTAGAGATCTAAGCTCTGACTTGATCTTTGGAAGAGTGAACATCTTACATCGATAAGATATTCGCTTAAAGATTCTTACTTCGATAAACGAAGGAAGAATTCTCAAAACCTTCACGATTCAATCAGAATCTGTGAATCGGTGGTCCACGGGCTAACGCACCCCCGGCACAGGCAAAGATCCCACGCAAGCAGCGATCCAAACAACGATCCCGCGTTTGTTTCTAAGGAGCTTGTAATTTGTTTTTTGTTGTAAAGAGTAGTTTTACAAAGTACGAAGCTCACTCTTTTGCATTCATTATAATCGATAAACAGTTATAATGAATTCTACAACAGAACTTGTTCCTGACAAAAACATGGTCGACTTAAAAGACGTTACTTCTCGACCAAGCCAAATGACGACTTTAATCTCGAAGCTCCTCCGCTGATAATACGTCGACATCACATTTAATGCTTGGCAGGGGCCATCATACCTGTAGCCCCGATAGCCTTCATGACACATCGGACCACGTCGACACTGCCATGCACCCAATCACTTCACATTAAACGCTGAGGTGATCTCTCCTCTACTCGTTAAACGACATCTAAAAAGTAGGTGCTGACGTAGCCGTTAGGCCATACTCATTTGTCGCCATCCTGTACTCGGTCGAGATTACCATTCTACCCTTGTTCCACCACTATAAATAGAGGTACTATTCTCAACATCAAGTGGGATTTTTTCCATAGGATTTTGCCAAGCAATATCTGCAAATTATACTGCACTATAGTTTAGAACTCACGCAATTCTTTATTTTCTAACTCAAGTCCATCAACTGACTTGATCGTCGGAGGAACCACGGGGGAACTAATCTCCGTCATCTCACGAGTTACTATTTGTGCAGGCTAAAGCCACTCAACTCAAAACCAGATATTCGGAAAAGTGAGTGGCCCCTAATCAATCCCACCCCCGCTATATTGACTATTTGATTATTTAACATTAATAATTAGTTATTTAATTTATGTAATAATATAATAGTAAATAAATAGTGTAATTCATAATTTATGTAATTTATTAAAATAATTATACTATTTATGTAATTAAATATTTATTCTATTTATTTATTAATCATTGAATTATAGAATAATTCTTAATAGTATTTAGTAATATATTATTATATTTACAATATTATTCTAATTATTTTATTATTATTCATAACTAATAATAATTATTATTTAATTGATTACTACTAATAATTATGTATATTTGTTTTATAAATTATTTTATTATATTATATTTAAATAATTACTAGTTATAATATTATTGATAATTATAATTATTTAGGAAGATAAGAAGGTTCATAATTAATAAAAAGTTATATTTATTTAATGATAGATTAATTAGAGATAATAGTATAGTTAGAATTTATAAAAATTTGAGAGGACAAAAAAGAAAATTAAAAGTTTTAACACCCTAACCCTTTTTTTATAATAGATATAGATATAGATATAGATCTAAAAAGTTCACTAATCTCCTCAACGAGCAAGAATTGACCTTGAATACTATGTCAGTAGAATTCCTATGATCTCTTTTTGCATATATTAGATGCATCTAGAATCAGAGCTCTTGCTGTCTCAGTAGCTTTGCAAGCTGCTCTAGCTTCCCCCTTGAACACTGAACAAGCACAAAATTTAACAGTTTTAGCATTCAAAACTCTTCATATTCAGTGCCTAGTACTATAGCCCGCAACTGCTGCTTGGACAATAGGATCAAAATATCCATCAAAGTTTGCTTTAAACCATCCCAGCTTTGCCCTGATCCGCCATGGGTCATGATCTGACCTAGTAGATAATACAAAGTTAATATAGTTTAGCAATTAAGAAAAAAAAATTAGAGAAAGTTATAAACCCATGTGCCATGACTTGCCCGCCCCTAGGCGGGTCGGGGTCGAGCCAGGTCTAATCACAGACTCGAGATCGAAGAAATAGACCCGACCCACTGGGACCTGGACAGGTTTGGGTCAGACCCGGCCCGACATTGAACCCGGTGGGCCGGGTCACGAGCTTGAAACGGCCCGGCCCATGTCCACCCCTATTGATCGGGGTATGAGGAAGAAAATAGTAAATTCCCAAATCATAATTAATTAATATTTTTGGAGAAATAATGTTATTTATTTGTAGACTGAAAGAAGGTCCCGAAGCGTATAAATTTACTGGTTGTATTGGACTCTTTAACGGGGTGTCAATAGATGAGCTATTTAGCCCATAGTTTACTACTTTACTCTGTTTGCTAACGGGTCGGATGTGAAAATATGATGGGCGATAGCCGATAGGCCATACTTTTAACCCGTTAGCTAACGGGTCGGTTATCTCTAACAGTTCGAATCCTGACGGTTTCAAACCCGATTTGGAGGGGTTTTAGGTCGATTCGTTCCCAGTCCCATTCTCTTCTCCTCTCTGCTTGCAGCTGCTTCTGGAGGTAAATTACCTCTCTTTTTTTAAGCTCGTCGTTTTAAATTGAAAAATTTGTGGAATTGATTAGTTATTATCTGCTATTTTATCAGTTTTCCACTGAAATTTGAAGCTTAATTAGATTACTTTGATGAGTTCGTACTCTTTCTCATCTTGACTTGATTCAGATCTAGGGTTGTTTGTTGCTTCGACGAACTGTAAACGCTTAAAAATCTAAAGAGAGAAAATTCTTTGCTCAATCAAGATTGTAAAAGTTTCATGAGTAGTAAAGTCGACGGGGGCTGCTTTATAGCGTATTGAATGTTAGTAATTTTGTTTTGGCTCAACGAATGCATTAGATTGCTGTTGAGTTATATTTGATGTTATCGTGAATACCAAGTTCTAGTTCAATGGAGCTATGGCTGCGTTTTGTGTAGATTGCTATATGCTTTAGACTTGATTTCGACATGATATGTTATATATGGTAATTTAATTTCTTATTCTAAGTTAGAGTTGGCCACAGCTTATTTCAGTAAAGAATGGGATGAGTTTTGAAGAGGAGTCATGGTCAATTTACGTTGTATTTTTTTCTTGGAGTTTGAGCAGTGAAATTCTTGTAAATGTTTGCTCATTAAAGAATGGGAGCATCTAGCTTTGTTTGTATGTGTCATATGTACAATAGATTCTGGTAGTTATGGTTGAAGGCCTTTTGATAATCAGAAGCAACTCTGCCAATTTCTGTTTTTAACGCAAATAGTCCAGAATTTTTATAAGACCCATTCTTTCTCAATGCACAAAGTGATCGAAAATATGATTCTATTTTTAGGTCTTCTTTGTTTGTCTTGAATTCTTGATTAATGCATAAGATTGTTTTAATAAGTGGCTAGTATCTGCTTCACTTAGAGGGTTCAGGTGGTGGTAATAAGCAGCTGACCTGTTTGTCTTCATCATGACTGAAATTTTGGATTTCATATCATTGATCTTAGCCTGAAGTTCTCAATGACATATCTTGGTCATTAGGGCATAATTTCACCGAAAAGCCGATTAAGATGTTTTTAACATATTCTCAGCTATATCATCTTATATTGAAGGTGTGTTCGAGGACTGTTCATTTCCGCTGAAGTTTAATCATGCTCAACCCAGGCAGGGCCGGCCCTGGGGTAAGCCCACCAAGCCCCAGGACCGGGGGGCAACCCAGGACCGGGGGGCAACCCATCCCTCCCGCTCCTTCATCCCTCAAACTGTAATTAATTTTTATTTTCGACGTGGACTTTGTAAGAGGACCTTTATGTAAAAATTGTTAGGGGTTCTATTTGTAAAAGAACTCTAATGAATACCCAAAACCCTACCCAACTCCTTTATTTCCGTCAGCATTTCCTCTCCTCCTTCCCGTCTCTGTTCCGCTCATAAAAAAAAGAAAAAAAAGAAAGAGAAAACCACTCCTCTCCTCCTTCCCAAGCCTTCGACGGTCCGACCTTACTCTGCTCCCATCGGACCTGTCCTTCAGGCTTCACCCCGTTGACTCCTCTAACCCAATCATGTAAATTTTTTTAACTAAATAATTTTATGGTTTTTTGGACAGAAATTTGGAGTTTTGATGTTTTGCAATGAAATCAAGATTTCTGATTTTGAATCTTGGCTGAATCTTTGTTGTTGAATAATTGAATTAGGGGTTGTGATGTTTTGGAATGGGTTGCTAATCGAATTTTGTTACTATCCCCGTTACGGTTGCCTCGGTGGAGAGAAGTTTTTTCAAATTGAAATTGATAAAAAGTTATCTTCGCACTACCATGTCACAGGAACGATTGAATGGATTGGCAATGATATTAGTTGAAAATGAATACTTGGAGAAACTTGAGTATGATGACTTAATTGAAGAATTCCTTCAAAAAACTCAAGGCGAAGTATTTTTCTTTGAATTAAATTGTAGCACAAATGTAATCTCTTCTTATATGAATATTGATTTTGCATGAAAATATTATCAGTTGAGCCCAATATAGAACGCTAAATTGTATTATATATATTTATTTTTATTGTTATTATTCGTACTAAATTTTTAATATAAGGGGCAACCAAAATTAAATTAGGCTAGGGCAACCCAAAGCTCGGGGCCGGCCCTGAACCCAGGTTTAGAAGCCATCAATACATGACGATCTGCCTAAGGCTCGTCATTGCATGTTAAACCCAGATTGGCCCTTGTATCGAGAATCTCATCAAGGATGGCTAGCTTCTAATTATTTTAAAGGGATTTTTTTAAAACAGACCTTTTTACTAAATAATTAGCAAAACAGACTGTTTTGCTAATTATTTAGTAAAAACAACCTATTTTTGGCCAACAGGCAAAAAAGATGTCGTTTTTAAAAAAAACTGCGAGCTCGAAATATACGGGACTTCTAGTCCCGTATGTTTAGTCACTACTAACTGGCGGCTAATACGGCCCGAAAAACCTACGGGACTACTAGTCCCGTAGGTTTTTTTGTGTGGGCTACAACAAACACAACAAAGCTACGGACTAGTAGTCCCGCAGATTTATTTGTTTTTCTTTCATTTATATATGTACGCGAGCATATGATGGATATGAGGAGAAGAAGCTAAGGAGATCATCACGGATGGCCCATCACCACCTTCAAGATCCGCAAAGCTTTCAAACGTAATCCAAGCGTCTATGACCATTGAATTCAACCTCAAACTCTGGAGCTGTTACAATCTCCTCACCGTCGCCGTTGCAAGCAGCCTCAACCATCATCGATTTCGCGCCTCATCGGCCACAAACTCCATGCCCTAAGCTGTCCTCTCGTCGCAAACAACTTCAGTTGTCGTCGGTGTCTACTGCCGCTTTGAATCAATAGCGAGCAAAGAAGCCACCGTCTTACTAGGTCGTTGCCGCCACCTTCTATCTCTAGCGTTCCAGCGTTCCAGACTCCCCGTAATCATCTATTACTGCTCCGACATTACCGTTGGAGTCCACGGTGTCTCCGAGCTCATCGTCGGCGAGGATTGCGCTTCACCTTATCTCCACGAGGCCTTGCATTTTTTCTCCTCTTAACTTGCTCTCTGTTGACAAAGCAGAGAAGAAGAGTGATAGAAGGAGAAGGGTTCACACGGCTCACGAGGGCCTCGCCAAACGACAACAAAGGAGGCCATCAACAATGAGCTACAACATGTGGAGCATCCTCGAAACCTACGGGGCTAGTAGTCCCATAGGTTTTTCGGATCGTATTAGCCCCCACTTAGTGACGACTAAACATACGGGACTAGCAATCCCGTATGTTTCGAACTCACAGTTTTTTAAAAACGACCTCTTTTTGGTCTATTGATAAAAAAGAGGTCGTTTTTGCTAAATAATTAGCAAAACGGTCTGTTTTGCTAATTATTTACCAAAAAAAGTCTCTTTTTTCTTTAAAATCCCTATCTTAAATACTAAATTCCGGAACTATATTGAGTTGATGCATAGCTAACCAGCTTGAGTTCATTTTATAGCTAACCTATAGCCATCAAGCCCAACCTGGACCCTCTAGCTTACTTATAGGCTTGTTACTTGGACCTTATGAATGTGCCGCTGCTAGTTGCGTTGCACTGTTGACACACATATGTTATGTAGGGCCATTGAGTCAACATGATTTTGGTTTATCAGTTATGGAACTGAGTTTGATATACAACGGGAATGTGGAGAACATGACACTATGAAAAAATTAAAAATAAAAATAAATTTTACATGCTTGTTCATGATGAAGTTGTTGAGGCACGTGGACATGTACATGCAACTTTGTATGCTTCCTACATCCACATGCACTTCTCTTCTGAGCGTGCATCTTCCATAGCACACAGCGAACCTCGCCAGACATTTAGAGGTTGTCTGCTCGTCTGCGGCTATTTGTTTTGGTAGCATTACGACCATTTTTGTATCCACAATGGCAAAAATTAGTCATTTCTTGAAAACTGTAAATGCAAGTTGCGAAAAGGCTGCACTTGTACCTGTGATTGTCCTTTTGCAAATTGCTACAATATTTCTATGAACCAAACCAGCTATTCATCATGAATATAAAGTGTAAGGACTCTAACCAGAATAAGCTTGTCCAAATGCCCCTAGCAACTTAAGAGGCATATAGTGTTTTATTCAATGAGGTGGAATAGGATTACTTGGTTTTTTATTACTTGAAAAATTAAAAAGGAATCTATGTTTCTTTGTAGCAATCATCTGTATATTTCAACATACAAAGTGCTGATAGGACTTCAACTGTGTTTTTTTAAGGCCGGTCTGGAACAATTCATCAGTTGATGTGGAAGAATCCAAATATTATATTTCATCATTCATTGTTCGAAGTCATTGACTTTCACTATACGATCCATATAACCATGTTCCATCGATTTAATGGTGAATGCCATAATTGTTTACTTTTTATAGATACTGAAGTTTTATCAGCATACCTCAGTGGAAGGGCTATGTTGTGCTATGGCACAAATTTAAATATTGTCATCCTTCATCAAGTGGTGTGAGGATGATGAGATTACTTTTCCTTAAATTTTCTTTCCATCAATCCATATGGATTACATTAGTGGGTCATTTTAATTATCTGATCGTTATCCTCCTTGACTTACTCGTGGCATGAAATCATTGGTTGTGCGATTATGTTCTTTATCAACCCTATTTGTTTTGTTCTGTTGGGCAGATATATATTTGATGGTTAATATTTTCTATTCAGAAATATATCTTCTTTCTTGCAGTTTGTCCTGTAGAATAATAGGTTGGAAATAGGATTACTTCATGTTTGATTGAGAAAAAAAAAAGATGATATTCTGATCTACTCCAATTTTATCAAAGAAAATATATTTTATTCAGTGCAGTTTGCCTTATAGAGAAAACGGTGGACAATTGGATTACTTAATGTTTGATAAAAAAGAAAGCAAGCAAGAAAGAAAGATCGATCTTGGTGATTGATCTGTGTCATTTTATTTTCACTAGCGTAAGTTATCAATTTTGCATCTGTAAACTGGATAATCCTACAGATTTGTCTAACAATGATCCCTGGAAAGAATGTGAAACAAGTTCTGCTGAGTAATTGTGTATGTACTGTGCATTCACAGGATTCATGAAGTTTCCCAATTAATCCTCCAGCCACTTGATTTGATCTGACAAGCAAAACATCCATTTTAAGTTAATAGTTAATCTTTTGGATTGGTTATTAAATTTCATTGATGATGGGTTTGAATTTTACGTAATTGTGTCACTTCCAAACTATTGATTATCCTCCTAGAGGTAGATGGTTACCTAGGTTACGTGGACATTTCATCCGGGCTCCCATATCCATGTACGACACTTCCCGATTCCCATATCCGTGTCCGTGTCCGGCACTCCTTGGGCACTTCTTGAATATATATTATATACATACATTTTACTCAGACGTATATAATATATACATTTTTTTTAGTTTAAAACACTTGTGATACACTTCTTGGATGTATATATTTCCTCAAGTTTCTACAACTCGTTGGACTTAGATCAGGTTCATTTCAGTTCGTAAGTCCATACCTATTTCATAAGTATGATATTAAAGGATCGTTCTAGTATCTAATTAAAAAACTAGCGGTTTTTCAATTTATAATATACTCAATAAAAGAAACATAAAAACGTTATAGGGATTTTTCCCCACATAACATGTGAATGAAAAAGCAATATCTATCCCATATAAATTATTAATTTTATTAGTATATGCATAGCTTTGTGTGGCACCCGTACCCATACTTATGCAACATGGATGGTTACTAACTTATGGTAGAGATCCATTTGGAATGCTCTTGTTCCCTCTACTTCTCTTATCTTTTGTTTTTATTTTAGACTTGCTTTTTTTTAAATTTTAAAAACTTTCATGCTAGTTCAAACTGTGAATCAGTGTAATTCCTTCACCAAATTCTATCAGCTTTATTTGTTTTAGCTCTAAGTCTCCAACTGCATGTTCTTCTATCCATTGATATCTATCCATTGGTTGTAGAATACTAACTTCATGGATTCAATGCTTTATATCTTCCTTAAGTTCATGCAAATTAACTGCATTACTTGAAGTAGGAGATTTGATCTGGAAAAGAAAACTTTTCTCTTTGCAAACGAATCATAATTCTTTGAGATCCAATGACATGTAATGGTTCTACATTATCTACAATTGTAATTGTGTGCTCTTTTTTCCCCATTGTATTCTGCAACTTAGAACCCTCCGTATTTATCTAAAGTAAATTATCTTTACCTTCCATATTGTATGTTTTAATTGATCACCAAAATTTTGCTTCAGGTACTTTACCTCTAGTAGTAGAGCCTTTCTCGAAAATGTCAGATGGTCATGAAACTGATAAGAACATTGAGATATGGAAGATTAAGAAGCTGATCAAGGCCCTGGAGTCTGCAAGAGGTAATGGCACTAGCATGATCTCTCTTATTATGCCACCACGAGATCAAATCTCTCGAGTTACCAAGATGTTGGGCGATGAATATGGAACTGCTTCAAACATCAAAAGTAGAGTGAACCGCCAGTCTGTTTTGGGTGCAATCACCTCAGCTCAACAGAGACTGAAACTCTACAACAAGGTTCCTCCCAATGGACTGGTTCTATACACAGGAACCATTGTTACGGATGATGGGAAGGAGAAAAAGGTTACAATAGATTTTGAGCCTTTCAAGCCCATCAATGCATCTCTTTATCTCTGTGATAACAAGTTTCACACCGAAGCATTAAATGAACTTCTGGAATCTGATGACAAGTTTGGTTTCATAGTTATGGACGGAAATGGAACACTTTTTGGGACTTTAAGTGGCAACACGAGAGAGATACTGCACAAGTTCACTGTGGATCTTCCCAAGAAGCACGGTAGAGGAGGACAATCAGCGCTTCGATTCGCTCGGCTTCGGATGGAGAAGCGTCACAATTATGTTAGGAAAACAGCTGAGCTAGCAACCCAGTTCTTCATAAATCCAGCAACGAGCCAGCCAAATGTTGCTGGATTAATTCTTGCTGGTTCAGCCGATTTCAAGACCGAGTTGAGCCAATCTGACATGTTTGATCAACGTCTTCAGACCAAAATACTCAATGTTGTTGATGTTTCTTACGGAGGAGAAAACGGTTTCAATCAAGCTATTGAGTTATCGGCAGAAATACTTTCAAATGTGAAGTTTATCCAGGAAAAGAAATTGATTGGAAAATATTTTGAGGAAATTAGCCAAGACACAGGCAAGTATGTCTTTGGTGTGGATGACACATTAAAGGCTCTTGAAATGGGTGCTGTCGAGATTCTAATAGTCTGGGAAAACTTGGACATCAATAGATATGTGCTTAAGAACAGCGTTACAGGAGAAATTGTCATAAAACACTTGAACAAAGAGCAGGAAGCTGATCAGAGCAATTTTCGTGATGCAGCTTCTAATGCTGAACTTGAGGTCCAAGAGAAGATCTCTTTGCTGGAGTGGTTTGCCAATGAGTACAAGCGTTTTGGTTGTTCTCTTGAGTTTGTCACTAACAAATCTCAAGAAGGTTCACAATTCTGTAGGGGGTTTGGTGGCATTGGTGGTATTTTGCGTTATCAGCTTGATATAAGGTCTTTTGATGAGCTATCTGATGACGGAGATGTGTATGAAGACTCTGATTAGAATATGCCACAGGGTTTTCGATTTCCTCTGGAGAGCGGTAAGCCTTTTTATTACTCTGAGAAAAACTGCAGTCCTGAAGAAGTATCGAGGATGAATTTTGCAAAACTTGAGATTGTTTGATGCTTGAAATTTGAGTTGTTTCTTCATGCTTGATTAAAATTTTTCCTTTTTGTCAGATTGCTGAGGAACTTTAGCCATGTATTCTGTGGATTGGTAATGTACTTAATTGTGTTTGCAACTTTGATCCTGCAGGGGAATGAGTTTGTGAGATTTTTCGTTTTCCTATAGTTCTGGATGCTTGCATCCATGTGGTGGTTTTATGTTGATTCTGGGTGAAGCTTTCTTTATCGTTTCTCATGTGCGTGGTTTTATGTTGATTGAGGTTATCGTTTCTCATGTGGTGGTTTTATGTTGATTGAGGTGAAGCTTTCGTTATTGTTATCCAAGTATTAATATCGATCACAGTGTTAGTTATGATAGGCTGACAACATTACACACGTAGTTATTATTCTCTGTGTTAGCTTTAGGATGAACATTTCATCAGTGTTCTTGAGTATATCTTCGGATGTTAGTGCTACTTTGATATAATTTGTACATGATTTTCAGTGGCGGATCTACGATGTTAGGAGTGATGGTTCAAAATAAACACTAATTTTTTTATTAGAAAATAGTATGCAGACACATTCAGGCCCAAAATTGATAGAGAGGAGAAAACTATGTAAGAAACTCATACAATAAACTAATACAATGAATATTCATGTAAATTTAAAAGAAATTATTAGAAAATTAAATACTTATCCAAGAAATTTGAGTTGGATGGTGGTAAAAAAGATGGAGTAAAATACATTAAATAATGATGATTGTAAAATAGATGTAGAATGTAGCAAAACACATCAAAATTATAGAGAAAAATTTATAGTCCATAGTGTGGTAAACAGATAATTAATTTCAGATTGAAGTGAAGCATTTCATACTATTACATACTAATACTAAACAAAATGAATTAAAACAACAAAGCTCAAAATGAAAAAAAAGAAGCTGGATTCGAACCCAGAACTTCCCTGTTTAACAAACATTAGATGCTCTGGCTTTTCCACTAGGCTGAAAATTCTTCTTGTTTGGTAACTGAGATATATGTTATATATAGTGTCTTCTGAAATTCCAGGTGGTTCAAGTGAACCACCTTGAACTAACATAGGTCCGCCACTGATGATTTTTGCATCTAGTTTCAGAACAAGATTACTTTTTTTTTTTGAGGAATTATATTTTTCACCGCGACTTTTGCATATTTTCGTGGATGAACTTATGCATATTCTCACGGATGAATGCTTTGTTTTTATGTTGACTTTTGTTTTTGAGGTATTTTGCAACCATACCATTCCTTAGATAAACGTCGAATGAAAAGAGAGACATATGGTACTCCTTCATCAAATTAAACTATGATTGAGTTGATTTCTGTAAATTGTTTGGTTTATTCATCCCACCTTTTTTATCAATAAGTACATGCTCATTATTTGATTAAAGTGCAGTAGTATGGGTCAGTTTGATCATTGGATTGCTGAGATGACTCAAGGTGGATGAAGTTGTTGATAAAATGAATTATTATTGTTGTTTAAATTCATAACATGAATTGGTGGGCCGATTTCTTGCGAGCATAAGGGTATTGTTTTATTGAATAGTGGTTGAGTTGGTGTAGTTAATAAATACGCAAAAGGCAAGAAATATACAATTTTAGAAAATGTAGCAAAAATATGCTAAAAGCCCTTTTAGAAAAGAGTGATACATGCGAGTAGTCATTAACATTTTATTGGAATTTTTGTTACTTATATTTAGTTTTATGGTATCTTATTACAGTACTGCAACTATAGTAAATTAGGTGTAAACATGGGAACATTTGGTATTCTCTAACTATTTAAGAGTTTCTTGTATTGTTTGTATTTGCCCAGAGAAACAAGATGTCCACTTCATATCATTCATCATGATGATCCGCACTCTTCCAGTTAACCTTGGATGAAAGCGGAATTGGTTTGATTTGTGCAATTTTCAATTCATTTCCAAATAAAGAGGCCTAATAAAACATTACTTTTTCTATCATTTTTCTTGACTTATATATACGTCAAATCAATATAAAGAAGGAATCTTCCCCCTTTATTATTCTTCAAAAGAACCACAAGATATATATTTCCTGTTCAAAGTCAAATGGCGTATGGACCTACCTTTACTTAAGGTTTGGCAAGGGCTTAAGGGCTTGAGAGAGGAGGGTTATGGAGAAAGGTTAACTTAGTTAACCTATATCAAAGATTAAAAATAATCTAATTCCGTTTGGATTAGATAATTAACATAAAGGGTTAACATTTTTTTGTTTGACAAATAAAGAAGGGTTAAGTTTGTTAATACCTCTAATTTTTTAAAAATACCAACTTTAACCTTATTGAAAGACAAAAAGTTTACTAAGAATTTGTACATTAAGATTAGTTCAACTTGAATTTTCATTTATCTCAACTATAAAAATATTTGCATTTCTATATTATTTAAATAAATGGTTGTTGAAAAAGATAAAAATAAATTTAGCTTAGAAAAATAATAACGTTTGATTATATAGGTATACGATACTAACAATTCTTATAGTAAAATATAAACTGTTGTTTTATCATTAACGAGGGGGAAATGATAAATATATATTTAGGATGGATATGAGACTTAAAACATGAAACAAAAAATGAATATAAAATGTTTTTAAAGTGATGATGATGTATGTCTATGTCCTTTTAGCATAAAATTAAAATTTGAAATTAAATGTAAAGAGGGATGATGATCTTTATCTAAATCATTTTATCATGAAAGCTTAAATGTGCTGACCATGCCAAAGATTCATGTATAGACAAGTACAGTAGAAAGAAAGAGTAGACAATTGTATGACCCCACATCACATGAACTCAAAATGATCATATGATTCAATAGATTTTTGTAGCCAACTTGACATCGTTGGCTAGTCAGAAATTGTGTATAAAATGTTGCACTCCTTTCCTTGCGTGATTTTTTTGGTAAAGAAAGATATATTTACCTTATAATATATTCTGTTTCATTTAGATAAAATTCTAATATCTACCCCCTTGTGAAGAGGAGGAACAAATTTGTTCCGCCCCTTCATGCGGAATTGCTAACCTGCAAGCCGGCGGGTTAACAAAGGGCTTTAGCATCACGTGAGGGCTTTTTAGCCCTTTATGTATTTTTGCTGTTTGGAGGGTTAATGAGGGGTTAAGCCCCCCTTAACCCCTCCACTAACTCTTTGCCAAATAAGACCTTAAAAAAATATACACACAAAACTTAACCTTTGACCTCTTAAAATCAAAGTTGCACGATTAACACAAAAAAAAAAAAAAAACTTTTTTTTGGCTAGGGTTGGGATTATTCCACATGAGGAAGAACCGAGGCAACCTCTCCCCCAAGCAAGGCCCAGCCCACAATCCTCTCTCTCTCTCTCTCTCCAACAATACAAGCACAATTTTCTCACCCCTAAATTTCCCTTGCTCTCTCTCTCTCCTCGCTCTCTTTCTCTCTCTATTTCCCTCCGCCCCAGCAAATCCCAACCGTCTCCTCTCTCTCTACAACTCAAGGGCAGCGACTGAATATAGATATAAAAAACAAGAGAAAAAAACCCACGAAGCCGAGAAATTAAAATCACAGATTTTGTTCTATTTTCTCCTCTCTCTCTCTCTCTCTCTCTCTCTCTCTCTTTCTCGCTCTAAAATTTCCGTTATCTTTCTCTCAGATAAAATACAGCGCCAGCCAACGCGAGAAACGCACCCGCCTCCTCTCTCTCTCTCTCTCCCTCTCTCTCTCTCTGAAAAAACGAGGGTTAGGGTTTTTCCCCCTTCGATCGCTTCTTTAACTCTTTTAGGGTTTCTATATTTGGGTTTTGCGCGAATTTTTGGATCTCTGCCGTGATGGACGCATCCTAGTGGCTCTCTCTTTCTCTAGGGTTTGGGTTGATTATGATGGCCTGTTGAGGGGCCGCCGCCTGATTTTCTTCGGGTTCGGCTGTGGATTCGTAGACCCAATTGAACGCTAATTTTGTCGATTGATTTTTGGACCCAGTTGGGGATTCTTCCGAAAACTTTCGCAGGGTTTCGTAAAGACTCAGGCAGAAGCTGTTGGAGTTTGCCCCCCCCCCTCCCCCCCCCCGCTCTCACTTTCTTGATCTTGGAATCTTCTCGGGTTCCGGGTTTTTCTATTTGTACAGAATTAATGGGCATCGAGTTATTTACAAGGGAGAGGAGTAGATTTGAGGCAGTTCTTTAAGTGGGGTTTCTCTTCTTTTTGTTGAATGGATGATGCTTTTCTGTGCTTGTTATGGATCGAGGTGAGCCGACTTTAGCTCCACAGTGGTTGAAAGCAGCAGGGTCTTCTTCCCATTCAGGTATAATTGTCTACTTTTTTCTATTTAATTGTTCTGCTCTTGTTTCACTGATTAGCGTATGTATTGATAGCTTTTGGTGATAGTATCAATATGCTATATTGAAAACATGCATGTAGTTTACAATTTTAGCGTTTATCCTCCATATTTGATATGTTTGCTTGGATTCACTGAAGAACATAAATTATGGGATCATTGTGAATTATTCTTATGTCGCCTTTTTTTGGTTAATCATTAATCAACTTTTAATAATTTGAAGTTGTACCGTGCATTAAATTATGGTACATCGGTTACATGCATATAGTTTGTTATTTTTAGCGTTTCACACGCATTTTCTATATGTTTACTTTGATCACTGAAGAACATGACGAGGGGCTCATTGTGAATTATCCTTATATCTTGCTAATCAACGTAACAATGTGCAAGTTGTCTTGTATATTACATTTTCTAGTTCTTGTGTTGTTTTTTTTATTTGATGTTAATCTTGATCACAGATGAACATAATACCGGGTCTTTATCAAGAAACAGACTGTTTTTTTTATTTGATGTTAATCTTGATCACAGATGAACATAATACCGGGTCTTTATCAAGAAACAGACTGTCAGTGAGTGTTTGCGATTATGATGATCACAGATGAACATAATACCGGGTCTTTATCAAGAAACAGACTGTCAGTGAGTGTTTGCGATTATGATGCTCCCCGTGCATCATCATCATCATCCTTCCGGAGGAGTGTCAGCAATAATGGCTCTGTAAGCCATGACAAGGATAGTTCTACACTGACACGTGGTTATAGTAGTTTTGGTAGGAGTCATCATGAAAGGGATAGATATAGAGATAGACAAAGGAATCGAGATAGGGATAGTTTATTAGATAATGGTTACTATGACTACACTGATTCGTTAATGCTGCGAAGGGCTGAGGACACTTTGAGGCGATCTCAGTCCATGGTATCAGGACGGAGGGTTGAGTCGTTGCCCAAAAGTCCAGGGTTTGGTTCAGGCAATGGAATTCTTTCCACGGGAAGTTTAAGTGGTGGGTTTAGTAAGGTTTCCTTTGAGAGAGACTTCCCATCGCTTGGTGCTGAAGAGAAGCAGGGAGTTTTTGATGTTGGTCGGGTTTCTTCTCCTACCATCAGCACGGCCATTAACAACCTTCCTATAGGCATTTCAGCTGTTATGGGTGTTGATGGCTGGACATCAGCTTTGGTAGAAGCACCTGCTGCAGGCGTAGGCAATGGAGACACAAATTCATCTTCCCTGCAGACTACTGCAGGTATGGCATTTACTGGGTCCGGCACTGCGACAGGCTTAAGCATGGCTGAAACATTAGCTCAGGCACCTGCTAGGGCTCGTACTGCACCCCAGGTAATGTAGCATTTTATTTTATTTTTATAGACTTATATTTCACTAATTTTAATTTTACATTTTTTTGCAGTTATCCAATGAGGATGAAAAGCTCAAGGAACTGGCTCTTATGCAATACAACAAGCTGATACCAGTAAGAGCTTAGATAAAACTCTATAGATGTTACATAGTTTTGTATGAAAACATTATTCATGATTTCCTTGTAGTCTGTTGGCAATGCTCTTTTTGTCAGCCATGTTTTACTTTTTGTTATGATTGAGTAATAGATAATGAATGCAACATTGGGTTGGTATAGATGTTGCGGGCATATAACTTCTATGGTTTCCTTATTGTTCCATCTATTTTTGCAATAAATGGTATAGATCAATTACCTCTACACTGAGAAAACTACTGCATTTACGCAGGTGCGGGGTCCTTTACTTGAAATAACATTTTTATGGTTGTGTTATGGTCATTATGATGTTTTTTGTAGTTTTGTTATGGGTCAAGAGTCCAGGATGTTTTGAAGAGTATGCTTTGGTGCATGTGGAAATCTGAAGAGATTTTTCTACAAAACCTTAGAAATTGAATGTTATTGTGGATAAAATTAAATCCAGAACCCAACAAATACTGTTGGTTTTATGAGGAATGGCTACTAAAAGAACCTAATGACCAACCTGCAGTGTGGAAAGAATAGTGGCGATTTGTTCTTTTGTTCTCATATATTTGCTTTGTCAATAGTAAATGTTGACTGGTTTATCATAGTATCATATGTTTCTTTCTTCAACATGTTTGCTTCAGTCGTAGAGAGGAAGAAAGTTGAGGTTAAGTTGGTTGGTCGATACGTGGACTGTAGGACAAGCAATACTAGCAATATTAAGTACTTTAATAGTTTGTATATTTCTAAATCTGCAGCTAAACCAGTCTTGCATTTAATTATTGTTAAAGTTTGTTTGATAGGAGGACGGCGACTTTGCAAGTTGCATGCGGATGGTTAAATTGTCCATTTATGTTAAAAGTGCTGACGGAGATCTCCTAAGTTTCTGACTAGGAGCAATACAAACACTGGACACATAAGTAATCAGAATTTTTTATGGCAGACTATAATGTGTTACTGATTACGTGCATATAGATACATGGGTGGTGGGCTTGGAAGTATGTTTCACGAGTTCATCCCTTTTCATCTAGGTGTCCAATATGCTGATGAAATTGACATCTTAAAGTTATTTATATATGTATCACTTTCATCTTCCTGGCAACTTCAAGTACCTTTAGAGTATGTTGCTTTTATAAAATCCAGAACTGATTGAAATTTTCTAGATGAATGAAAACTGTTGGTCAATCTTTATTTCTCATTTCTCACAATCTTTCTTTAGATTTTACAGGGACCTAGCTTGAGTTTTGTGTGACACTAGCTACTTAATGCAGCTCTATCCTGACTCTAGAGTGTGTTGGTTTTCTAAAATCTGCAACTGATTGAAATTTTCTGGAGGAATGAATACTGTGGTCAATCTTTATTCTTATTTCTCGAAGTCTTTCTTTAGATTTTACAGGGACCTGGCTTGAGTTTTGAGGACGCTAGCTAGTAGCCACTTAATGCAGCCCCATTCTTCTTTGTCCAGGCTTAGGGCAAGCCCTGCAAGAACTAATAATTTAAAGTTACATTTGGCTTAATTTCAGTTTGACCAACTTCTTTCTGATAGATATTTTGAAGTACTATTTAGCTTAATTTCAGTTTGACTACTATGGATTTAGAGGACCACCTTAGCTTTGCCAGCTTCCCCTTTTAGGCAGAGCCGCAGGGTAGGGTTGTAGTTTATTTGTTGAATTGTAATTTATGGAAGCCTTGTTTCAAGTTCTCTCAGCCAACAGACTCCCCTGCAGAGAAAATTTTAGCTGTAGGTCATGCTACTACTTGCACATGAACTTCTGGTTCTAGTATTTTTATGTTGAGTAGATTATATTGTTTGTACATGAACTTCTGGTTCTAGTATTTTGTTGAGTAGATTATATTGTTTGCACATGAACTTCTGGTTCTAGTATTTTGTTGAGTAGATTATATCGTTAACGTTGAAAGAAAATAGAGAAGCACGGTTCGTACCTGACAAAGTCTTCCTTGCTGCTGACTCAAGTTCTCCTTTTTTCATGTTAGTATTTCTACCTTAATGACATGCTGAAGAATATCCTGTTAACTGTTATTATTGGGATTTTCAATAGCCTTTCTAAAACTCTAAATTAACATTTCTATAATGATGTATATGTTTCAGGTTGTCAATGCTTCAGAGAAATCAAAGGCCAAAGGAGCAAGAAACGGTGAGCTTGTTGCTCTCAAGGTACAGCAGACTTCATCTCAACTGGTCAATCATGGCCAACGGCTGCCTGCTACAAAGCCTGACATTGTAAAGACTTCTCAGGCTGGGAATTTTCAAGTCCTCAATCGAGAGAAGAATGGCACCTCTACTACTCTCAAAGATGGACCGCCAGTAACTATGACCAGCAAACTGGCAACATCAGTTGGTGGTCTTTCCTCAGTATCACTTCCTCAACTGAAGTCAATGCCAGTCAGTGCAAAAATCAAAGCTAATGGTTTAGGAGGCGAGAAGAAACCTCTTTTGTCACAGGACAGAAACAACTTCTTTAATTCCCTCCGAAAGCAAGCAGAAAAGAAAAACTGTATATTGCATCATCATTCTGATTCTGAAGTGAGCTCTGCCATGTCATCATCTTCATCTGAGTCAACAATGTCTAGTTCAGTGATGAAGTCAAATGAGCAGATATTTGGAGTTTGTGCAGCTTCTGCCTGTGAGGAAAAGAACCTTCTTGCTACTTCAGATTCTGGTTTAGAGCCTTCAGTGGCTGAGAATGGCAATGAGAACGTGTGCAATGAAGAACCTGAAGCCTTAGTTGCTCCGGATGAGGAAGAAAAAGCTTTCTTGGAGTCACTTGGATGGAGCGAAAATGCTGGGGAGGATGCCTTAACAGCTGAGGAGATTGAGTCTTTTGTCAAGAAGGTAAAATAAAGCTCTCTAGTTTTTTTTAAATAATACTTTTCTGCTTTTCAATGGGGCTTCTTATTTCTAACCGAGTTTTTAATTTGCAGCATGAGGAGAAACTGGGACCAGTTTTCAAGTACAGGGGGGGTCTTCCAGGTCTCGCCTTGACAAGATGGCAGCGAGTCTCAGCAAGATGGCAGTGAGTCTCGGCGACATGGCAGTCTGGATTGAGTTTGTCCATCTTAGAGACAGAAATGTGCCAAGACATCATTGCCTTCTTACTTTTGTGAGGAAAGATTTATTTTTATTTTTATTTTTATTGATGGTGAGATAGGGTTTGGAAGGCAGGGACCTGATTGGAGCAAAGACGAATCAAAAGGCTAAGATGTTTTCTCAATGTGAAATATGGAGAGCTATAGTTTTTTTCCACACTTTTGCTTCCTTTAAGAAGGTAAAAAAGAATGCGTGGAATGCAAAATAAGATGATTGCGAAGGTAGATATAGGTTGTCTAGATATCTGCACAGTAATGGGAATCTTATTGTTTAGTTTTTCCTTTAATGAAAAAAATGGTATCTTTTGTTTATCATCGGTTCTTTTGCGCTCGTATTTGAGGACCAAAAAAAAGTCTGTATTGATCTTTAGTATGTACAAACAGTTGGCTTGAGCTCTAGGCTGCTTTCGGAAATCGAAACCAATTTGTTCATCCTCATAATCAGCTACAGGATTCACAGAGGAGAGTTCTGCCTGGTCACGCGCTACTGAAATGTTTTGGGAGATGAGAGTTCTTTTGCGAGGGGTCAGTACGGTTTAATTTTTTTGCTGCTTACTGTTTATGCAACAAGACCGGATGAAGAAATTCCAATGAGGGCCTGTTTGGTTATTTCCTAAAAAACCAAAAAATAGAAATGAAAACTAAGAAATCTCAAAAAAGTACAATTTCACACATTTCCATCCATAAAACTCACGGACAAATTTTCAAAACCAACCTATTTGGACATTTTATTGCAAAAAAAGACCCGTTTCCCATTTATTTAGAGAAACCGACCTGGTTTCAGCACTGTCGCTGAAACCAGGTCGGTTTTTCTAAAAAACTTTACGAAACTTCACGGGAGTTCAACTCCCGTGAAGTTTAGTATGTTTTTAAACTTCACGGGAGTTGAACTCCCGTGAAATTTACTTCCCCCAATAAACTCCACGGGAGTTCAGCTTCACGGGAGTTGAACTCCCGTGAAGCTGCGGCCTATATAACCGAAGCGCCAGACCCCTCCCCACCTCAGTTCTCTCTCCCCGCAACCGCCCCCAAACCCTAACTTCTCTCCGCCGCCGTCCACGTCGTTTCCGACCCCAGCCCCCCAAATCCGACCGCCGGCCATTGATTCCGACCGCCAGCACTCCATTCCGACCGTTTGCCGTTGATTCCGACCGCCGGAACAGTCAAGTTCGCCGGATTTCGACAATTTGAGGGTAAATTTCTCCCAAAATTAGATTTTCTCTTAATTTCTTGTATTTTCTCGCTATTTAATGATGATTACATGTAAAAAATTATATTTTAGAATTTAATTGTGAAATTTTTATGATTTATGTGAAGAAAACTTAAATAATTTTGTCGATTTAGAGGGTAAATTATCAATAATGTAAAAAATAGTGTTACTACATATGTATGACATCTAATTAATTTTAAAAAAATTGTGTTATCAATAATTTTGTCGATTTTAGAATTTCATTATGAATAAGTTATGAAATTAGTGCTATATGACATCAATTAAAAAATCTAAAAATTAGTGCTATATGACATCAATTAGATTTGAGAATTTAATTGTGAATTTTATGAATTATGTGAAGAAAACTTAAATTATTTTGTCGAGTTAGAGGGTAAATTATCAATAATGTAAAAAATAGTGTTGGTACATATGTATGACATCGGTATATGAATCAGTATATGAATTTGTATATGAGTCTTATTGGAGTCTTACATGACGAGAAGCGTTCGATTGAATTGTTCATTGAAAAACATCAAAGGAATTTGGGCAAATCGTTGAATTATGATGGAATGTTTTCCCGCATGTTGGAGGACCCTGATGTTGATTCCGTTGGCTTTTTATCTCCTCAACAAGATGAAGGTTGGACACAATCACAATATATGAGCGGTCCTTCGCTTGTGGGCACTTCGAATGCGGTCGATACTAACATGGGAGTTCAAGAAGATAATGCAAGTGTTGAATCTGAGAATGATGATGAAGAGGAGGGCTTACAAATTGATAGCATGACCTTGATAGATCGTGATGAAGGGGACAACCACCACATTGATGGGTGTTATGCTAATAATGAGTATGTTGTCTTAGAGGATCCGCCGCCCGATGAACTTTAAGGAGAAGAATGGATCGATAACTCCTTGATGGAAAGTGTTCCTATTGGCACTAATAGCGGTCATGATACACAGGGCGAGGACTTCTCATTCGCGAAGGGAGATCTATATGAGAGCAAGGAGAAATTGATCTATGCGCTTCGCTCGTACGCCATTGCAAAAAATGTCAAGTTTAGGCCAACAAAAAATAATACTACAAGCTATAATGCGGTTTGTTTCTATCGCAAAGATGGCGATGATGAAGATATTGGTGGACACCACGACGGCAATGCGAAATGTCCGTGGAAGCTTAATTCACGCTCCGGTGTAAGAGTAGGCGGGCAATTCAAAATCACGGCATACAACGGACTCCACACTTGTAGCAATCCTCGATTAGAGATGAATAACAAGAATGCATCCTCTTCCTTCATATATCGATTGATTTTACCGCATCTGAGGGAGGATTTTGATCTAAGGCCGAAAGATATTCGTCTTCTAGTGCAAAAAGCCACCAACTTGGATGTATCATATCACAAGTGTTGGAATGCTAGGAGGAAGGCGATGATAAAAATATTCGGTGATTGGGATAAATCATATGAGATCTTACCTCATTATCTTGAAGCACTCAAAAGAGAAAATCCAGGAACTGTCTACGAAGTATCTTCGGACCCCGTTGATGGCGGAGATCGGCGATTCACCGGTGTATTTTGGGCATTTGGGCCATGTATTGAGGGTTTTCGACATTGTCGTCCTCTTCTTAGCATTGATGGCACCCACTTATACGGCAAGTACAAAGGAGTTTTGCTTGTTGCCACCGGAGTTGATGCGGATGGCGGTTTGTTTCCTTTGGCGTTTGCAGTGGTTGATATTGAAAACACAGAGAATTGGGCGTGGTTTTTTGCATGCATTAGATATCATATCCCTAGTGTGGGTGCGCGGCCGATTACATTCATATCTGATAGGATGAAAGGAATTCCAAGAGCACTCCAACGTCATTTCCCAGAGCCACATGCACATCGTTATTGCTTGCGACATATTAGGGACAACTTCAAGAAGAAATTTGGAAACGGTCAGGTTCAAGATCTTCTTTGGCAAGCCGGCTGTGCAACAGAAAAATTAGTTTATGACCAAATACGAGAGAGGATTAAGTTTATCTCCCGAGCTGCACATGATTGGATCGAAACTAGTTTGGGACCACACAATGTTGATAAGTGGGCTTTATGTGAAGATGGCGGGAGACGGTTCTGTATGATGACTACGAACGCTTCAGAGAGTTTCAATGGCGTGCTCAGGGGAGCACGCGGTATGCCAATACAGTCACTAGTTGCTAAAACATTCTACAGACTTAATAACTTCTTTCTACGACGTCGTGAACTTGGTGAAAATATTCGCTCGGAGCTCACACCGAAAATGATGAAATGTTAGCGGCTCGGATTGTACAAGCTCGATCCTTTCATGTCGTAAGATACAGTTTTAATGAATGGGAAGTCATTGAGGGAATATCACATAGAGAAAATCGCTCTTATAAAGTTAACATGTTAGTGGATCACTCGTGTACGTGCACTTGCAACGTACCGCAATTACAATGGATTCCTTGTTCACATGTTGTCGCGGCTTGTTCTGATCTACAAGGTGGTGCGAGGATTTCACACTATGAGTTCGTCGAGGCTTGGTATTCTACTTACAACTATCGACAAACATACAAAGAGTGTTTTCGTCCACCATATGATAGTCGATATTGGACACAAGACGGGCCACTGATATTACCTCCTTTGAGTATAGGGGAGTGCACCATCACTTTACAGGACGTGACCATCATACTTGGGCTCCGGATCGATGGGCCGGCAGTTACGGGCACCGATGATCATAGTTGGCCGGAGGTATGTGCCCGGCTTCTTGGACAGGTTCCCGACTTGAGGAGTGGTGCGATGAAGCTATCGTGGCTTCGTATAATTGTCCAGTTAGGATTAGGCGTTGATGTTGTAATTTGTAGCGGTTTCGATCTGTGTTTTCTTCCGTATGTCATTTGTGATTGTTAAATGCTAGGGGTTTCGTTCTGTGTTTGTTTCCGTGTGTCATTTGTGATTGTAATTTGTAGCAGTTCCGTGAGTTGTTTGTTTCTGTATCTCATTTGTATCGTACTATGTTATATAAATTTAATGTTTGGTTTCAAGTTATTGCTTTCTTCACGTTGCGCATTCGTTTGTTGTTTATATATAACTAGATGAGTATTTTAACAAAAAGATCTAACACATTGAGCATTGTCTTCTAATATAATTCTCAGTTATATTCATTATGGATCCGGGACCGAGACGCCCCGACGTTTTGACCCTCCAGGCGAGCCACGTTTCAGATTATATTGGCTCAGGACAGGTAAAACATCTTTTGTATATGCTAGTTAGCATTGGCACTAATTTTAATTTTTCGCATTATACTTAATCAATTCTTTTTGACGTGCAGCCCGTACCTGATATCACCATGATCGAGCATTCCCAGAACCATTCAGGTTGGGTCATTGAGAATGAGAGAGTTCTAGCGCTGATCTCTCAGGCTGGTTTTTGGGAGTGTTCGACGGTTCGATATATCAGGCTTGATTGGCCGCTTATCACTGCTTTGATTGAGAGGTGGAGGCCAGAGACCAACACCTTTCACATGCATATAGGGGAGTGCACCATCACTTTACAGGACGTGGCCGTCATTCTTGGGCTCCGGATCGATGGGCCGCCAGTTACGGGCACCGATGATCATAGTTGGCCCGAGGTATGTGCCCGGCTTCTTGGACAGGTTCCCGACTTGAGGAGTGGTGCGATGAAGCTATCGTGGCTTCGTCAGACATTTCAGGGCGACATACCAGAGGATGCCTCTGATGAGACGCTCCAGTTTCATGCTCGTGCATACATATTGCACATGATAGGGTGCGTACTATTTCCTGATGCGAGCAAGACTCTCGTACATGCACGATGGCTGCCACTGCTGGAGGATTTTGGTGTATGCGGGGCACTATCGTGGGGCAGTGCGGTGTTGGCATATTTGTATCGAGAATTGAGTAGAGTATCTCTGATGCAGAATAAAGAATTCAAGGGATGCTGTACGTTGATACAGATTTGGTCATGGGAGCGCATTCATATTGGACGCCCTACTTTACTTGTGCACCGTGACCTACAGGGGCAGTTTCCTTTGGCGTACAGGTATAATTGTACACACAAATTTTATTTATACTGAATTTGTACTTATATATTCTCTATTCTACATATAGGTATAACGTGCGGTACGCTAAGTACCGATCAGCGACGCGCCATCGTGAGTTTTACCGAAATGAGCTTGATGGTCTCCAACACGAACAGGTAAATATAAATCTCAAGTCGTTATGAATATTATAGTTTTGTTGTTGATACTGATAAATTTTTTATTTTATTTCAGTTCAAGTGGAGACCCTATACACCGCCGGAGCTCGATATACATTCTCTTGCACCTATCTGCCGAGATAGTCCCGACTTGTGGAGAGCCAGAGTTCCATTGATCTGTTGGGAGATCGTAGAGATGCATGTACCGGACCGTGTGCTACGGCAGTTTACACTCTCTCAGCATATTCCAGATCCTGTCGAGCAGATCAATCGTCAGCGACGCCCTACATCGCACCGAACTGATTGGGCCGTAGTCCGTGCGGCCTACATAGACAGGTGGGCTCACAGGTGGGATTTCATCCAGGATACGAGGCCCACAGCTGTTGACTATACCGCGTATATGGGTTGGTATTGGGGTATCACACGTAGATGGATCACACGTGACCCACAGCCCTTAGCTGGACACATGCCACGGCCACCGACAGACAGTTACATCCCTAGTGGGATGAACGAGAGAGATTACGTAAGTTTCTAAGCTAAATTATAATATTTTTTTCTTGAGTTGGTACTTAATGAATTATTTACCTTACAGGTCCGTGCTTTTGATAGCATTCAGGCTGATATTGATGCGACCGTGCCTGAGATTCAGGATCATGTGGTGTTAGGGCTCCTCGGCAGGATCAAGAAGACCATAGCACAGGTGTTTCATAAGACTCACGTCGACGAGTTCGCAGGCCGTGAGGACATGTCTCGATCATTTGGGCAAGCGTACACTCGGCGCCGACGGCCACGTGACGATGACGGCGGCACTTCGCATGCTGATGGAGCCGGCACTTCGCATGCTGATGGAGCCGGAACTTCACATGCTGATGAAGCCGGCACTTCACATGCTGATGGAGCCGGCACTTCACATGCTGATGGAGCCGGCACTTCGCAGCCTCACACACAGCCGGATACTCAGATAGTCGAGGCTCATCAGCGCGGGGGGCGGGGAAGAGCGAGGGGGAGGGGGAAGAGAGGGAGAGGAAGGAGAGGAGCTATATTAGGTTGTATTTGAACTTATTTTGTTAAAATTTGTAAATTGTATGAATTTTCAAATACTATACTTTTATGGATCAATTATAGCTCGATATGTGATCTTTTTGCGTATTGTTTGTCCCGTGCGTGTTTAAATAATATATATATTGCAGTAATTATTGTCAACATGTAAATAGTTGTATATATGAGTTAAATAAGTAGATGTATGCATGTTGTGCATGTTTTTGTAAAACCTGCAACTTCACGGGAGTTGAACTCCCGTGAAGTTGCAGTGCAAATTTCGCATGTTTTTGTAAAACCTGCAACTTCACGGGAGTTGAACTCCCGTGAAGTTGCAGTGCAAATTTCGCAGAGAGCGATTTTGGCCTGTAACTCCACGGGATTTCAACTCCCGTGGAGTTTTAACAATAGAACAAACTCCACGGGAGTTGAACTCCCGTGGAGTTTATTGGGGGAAGTAAATTTCACGGGAGTTCAACTCCCGTGAAGTTTAAAAACATACTAAACTTCACGGGAGTTGAACTTCCGTGAAGTTTCGTAAAGTTTTTTAGAAAAACCGACCTGGTTTCAGCGACAGTGCTGAAACCAGGTCGGTTTCTCTAAATAAATGGAAAACAGGTCTTTTTTTGCAATAAAATGTCCAAATAGGTTGGTTTTGAAAATTTGTCCTAAAACTCACTCACAACATCTAATAAAATATTATTTTTATCCAACAACTCATCCACAACATCTAATAAAATATTATTTTCATCCAACAACTTATCCATCACATCCACCACATCTAATAAAATATTATTTTCATCCACAACATCACTCAACTCATCTCATCTCATATTTAAAAATTACTTACACCATCCAATAAGATTGTGACAACTCATCTCATCTCATTAACATTTCATTTCTTTGTTTTCCTCCCAAAAAGCTAGGAAAACAATTTCCTTAAGTGTGAGTCACATCATCCAATAATATAATGACAACTCATCTCCTCTCATTTATTTTCTTATTTTTAAGAAATAACCAAACAAAAGAAAACAACCTATTACAAGAAATAGATTTCTTATAATTCATTTCCTTATTTTTTTTCCGCCAACCAAACAACATCAAAACAAGTTTTCTTAAAAAATCACTCACATCATCCTATAATAAGGTGACAACTCATCTCATCTCATCTCCATTTCTTTGATTTCCTTCTTTTTTTAGCTAACCAAACAATCCCAAAACCTATTTTTCTTAGAAATAAGTTTCCTTTTCTTTGATTTCCCTCTTTTTTTTAGGCAAACAAACAGCCCCTAAACAACGCTTGGATGGGAACTAGTTTGTCGACCAATAAGCTAAACCGCATAAACTACAGAAATAGATCTCGTTTTCAGTAGTATAACTCATCTTGATGTACCATTTGAAAATTTCAAGACAACTATCTCGTAAAAATTGGGAAAACAATTATATTACATTACAAGACAGTAGCAAATAGGGTTAAGCGGATGACCCACGGTTGCTGACCGCATATAGTAATAATCAAGCTGTCAAAGCATCGTACACAAAAAACTTTAAGAAACAAATCTGTTAAATAATTTGATATAGCAGGTGAATTAAAAGTTACAGAGAAAAAGTAAACAAAATTCCATCAACTAATGGCACTCCCCTACCCTCTTCTCCAAACAGATGCTCCCACAACCTCCACAATGTTCGTGCAAGAGATGCTTATACACTCACACATCAAGTTTCTTGCTGTTGCTTCCACAGTTTGCTCATTTTCCTACGGCATCCAACATCGTCAAATCTCACTCTTCTATATCTAACTCCTTTGTTTTCCATGTAACATCCAACCGCTGCCACCACAGAAATTGCACATTAAATACACATAATTTAGACTTTGGACGTCTTCCTCTTCTTCTTCTTCGGCAAGTTAGGCCTCTTCCTACTGCTTTCCTTGTTATCAGTCATAAGATGTTCATACTCTTCAAGAGTAGCAAATGGAGATGGTCGGCTCTTGACTTCCAATTTCCTCTTCTTCTTGCCCTTGACCTTAGTGGGTTTATCATCTTCACTGTCATCACTGCCCCCGGGTTCATTCACATCGACATCTTCACCATCATCACTTCCCAGTATCATGTCAAAATTACCATCATCATCATCATTGTCAGCAGCCGCAACACCATCATCACTCTCACTGCCACTATGTTCTTTTGCATTAGATTGAGGTTCGCTGGTTTCTGCATCACTTTCATTTCCAAGCAAGTCATCATCATCCTCATCGACTACTCTGTCGAGATCATCATAATCATATTCCCCTTCACCCTCTTCTGCTAAAGGAATATGTCCTGTCCCAAGCATGTTATCAATCTCCTCCTCCTCATCGCTCTCATCACTTGCAGCTAATAACAATTCTTCAGCAGCAGCATCATCTTCTGAGGCCTTTTTCTTCTTCGCCTTTGGTTTCTTTGAGGATCCTGTTTTGTTCATGTAGAATCTATGGAAGACGATATCCTCTGGAGGCACATCCTCTTCAGCAAGCTCTAGTATACCTTTCCCTATCAGGTGATGGTTCATGTCGAGCTGAATATTACAGGACATAAAAATGAGATTAGAACCAAATAAACAAGAAAAAAGAAAACTGAAAACTAGCGTACAAATCCTATAAAGTGAATATAGCAACAGAAGAATTTATGTGGCAAGCAGGCTAAGGCAATAAAAAAAGTTCTTTCAGATGATAGAAATATATATAGATAATGAATTCCAAGTTATTAGTACTTCACCAATTCTTTCCTGACATGCAAAGCAATTATGGGAAAAAATAAGATATGTTCGCACTAGCTGAAATAACATTCGTGAATAAAAATTAAAGAAAAATATTAACTAAACTACACGAGTTGCCCTACTATTGTACTACAAGAAAGAGAAATGTGGGGACTACGGAAACTCATATTTTCTCATTGCAATCTCCAAAGGACCCCACATTTTTGTGTCTTGCAGCAGCAGCGCAAAAGTAGCAAAACTCTTGTAAGTCTATTTATAACTACTCAAAAACTAAAGCAAAAAGCAACATAGTCAAACTAATTATAAACAAAAAATTTACAGGCAATGCTGCTATGCAGTTCACTTCACATGAAGATTAATAGTTGGTATGGGAAGGAAAATTGTTGGTTAAGAGAGTACACCTTTCTTGCAGGTGCGATCTGTGATCCACCATGCCATCTACCCTCTGCTTTCTTATTTGGCTTTGGCTTTTTCTCCATCAACTTATCAAGGAAAGCATTAAGTGACAGGTCATTCAAAGGATCACCATTGTAAACTATGTTGGCCCCTGAGAGCAGGGTCCGGGCCATTGTTGCCACAGATGGATGCACATGCGAAGCTAAAACTGTTAGCTCCCACCAACTTGCACGGTCTGCATTGCTGTTAAGGCAGTCAACGACTCAACATATCAACCAGAGAACATAAAAGGTAACTTGGAAAGTACAAAAGTAGATTAAACTGATATTTGACATGAATGAGAACTAAACCAAACGTCCATAAAGTCCCACTATAGACAACAGAAGAATATAGCTAAGCTATTGCTACCAAGCAGTGGGTTTCTGGAGGATTGTATTGCACTTCTTTGAATGAATGTGGTTGGTTTATTAGGTAGGCATATGTGGATGCCAGCTTTTAGCAAAAGCAGATCATAAACAGACAAACCACTGATTTTGCTAAAAATGCCTAGGTGCACTGAGAAGAGTTCTGACAACATTTTAAAAATGACAAACAGAGCAATTTCTTTTCTTTTCTTTTCTTTTTCTTTCTAGCTTATAGCTGATTCTAGTTCCCTTTTGAATTAATGTTTGAGAGAGTTTTATAATAATTGAAGGTAGAGAAGGAGAATATGTGATTCCTACTACTCAAGAAAGCACAAAAGAATCAGTTACAACTGATTCTTTTGCATATACATCTATTTGACGTCATTTTCTCGGATAAACATATGGTATCAAAATGCATGGTCACTAAAACTTCTAGTGGTATTATTATGACTAAGAGCAATATGATATTTAGGTGAGACGTTAGTGAAAACTTTGGGGTTCTCAGTAATTCTTAAAGTAGAAAAAAGGGAGATGCTTAGAAAGATAGATACCAGTACGAAGGCTCCCTATGTCGTGGATTATAACCAGCAGGTAGTGCAGAAACTTCAACTGGTACTTGAGATTTTTCTGCTTTTCCGTTATTAACACTATTTGCTCTTAACCCGACATTCAAACAATCATCACTGTCGTATTTGTGATCCTCCTTGTGGTTTGAAAGCTTTGAGTTTCCATAACGTTGTGACACTGCAATTTCGTCCGGATTTGTTGAGTTGCTAGATGGAGGATTGCCTACATCCTCAGGGTCTTCTTTGATGTCCTCAAAGTGCTCAAGCTCATCATCCACAGACTCCTTTTGGAGCACCATAGTCCTGCAAATCAACACCACCTTCAATTTCAATAACTCGTAACTCCATAGGCAGACGAACGATTATAAATTCGTATTATATGCCTTATTCAATTCTCTCTTAAACAACATACCACAAAGGTGGCTTTGCCTTAAGAACCTCAGACAGTAAGAATAGGCACCCACAGGCATAGTGAGGGGGTCGTTGCAGTGCAACCTGGATCATATTAGAAACATAATTAGTGTCTGATGCAAGTAATTCACACAGGTTACAGTGTGCAGCCAAAGGAAGGGGGAAAGCCCTGGGGCCATTAATTGTTTGCTTTCTCTCCTTTACCTTGTAAAGGGCTGATTTGACAGAGAAGGGATATGGTATTCCTTATAAGCAAACCACAATCACAGGTGAAGTACGAGAAATCTAGAGTAACAGAAGCCATCAGGAAGCTTGCTGTCATATTTCTTTAGTTACTAAAGCAGTCATGTTTCAAGAAGACAAGAACTCCTAGCACGGTTATGCAAAGACTGAACCACAAGTCCTCACATATTACACGAGGAACATAGCTAGAGACAGCTAGTTGGGAACATGAGGGCATGAGCTAGCCCAAACCCTCCAAAATTTACTTGTGGAAATTTTAAAACCCCCTATAAGAAGTTCATAAACATACGTCCCCTTATATTGTCCTTCTGGTTCCTACCCTGAACAGTCATTTTTTTCCACGCCCCTAAGAGGTAGAAGTGTCTAAATAATATATAATGACGCCAACTACAATGGATAATCGACTGGTTTGCCTTCCACATGATGCATGAGGCAGACTAGGGGGTCAGAATCAGGTCAATATGAGAGGTTAGTCTCTACAGTCCTTTTTTACAAAACACCACAAGTATAATGATCTTGACACTTAATCCAAAGGCAAGCACAAACCCTAATCTAAAATAATGAGAAGGACATGGTAAGAAGTAGCCAAAAGAATTCCCAAGTGTGTTTGCAACAGGATATGAATGGCTCACAATTAAAATAATTCTTATTTGTGCAATTCAGCTCCCAGAAAAGGAGAAATATAAACAACAAGTTATGTTTGGTAAGTGCAGCCTCTGCACTGAATGACGAGACCATATTTCACATCAACAGCATCAATGACTAGTAGTTGACATATCATACACCTTTCGAATACTTTTATCTTATGTCAGATTTTGATGGAAGCAACTCCAGGCTTAAGTCAACTGTATATTGGTTGGACCATATTCTTGTGAAGGCTTCTATTAAATGTTTGACGTGTAACATGTGAAATTATATTCGACCTGCACATCTCAGTATTATAATTGCGTTAAGATCGTGCATATTTATTGCATAATAACATGTCATAGACATAACACATAAAAAATCTATACTGCTTCTAAGTGGTACTATTGTTTGCCATGCCAAGTTGAAGTTAACTACATGGAACAACAGTAGATAAGCAAGAATTTACAAACATAAATATGCAAGAAATAAACTCGTGTGCAAAGAAGTCATAAAAAAAATGAAAAAAATAGAAGCATTGTCATATGTACAGGGCTACAACACTGCAGGCGAGCATCGTTGGTTTCTTCTTTTCTTAATAAAAAGGCAGTTTCTTATTTAGGCACCCCAGTTAATAGAGCAGTATTCGATAGTAAATGTTGAAAGCATTTAGAGAAAGTATATATTCACAACTATCTAAAGCAAATCATTCGGGTATCCAATAAAGGAACTGCAATAAAAAGATTAAGATGTTGCATTAACCTGCAGAAGGCGCTTTGCAAAGGCAGATACTCGCTTCAAGTTTATATCATTCTTCATTGCCTTGACCAATAGCCCAAGAAACATTTCCGACTGCAATATCAAATGTAGACATACAGATAATACGAGGCCGAGTACAAATGTGTGTGCATATGCGTGTGTGTTCAGCCTTAGTATCAGCCAAGCAGATATGGGGGAAATAAAATTAAAGTATGGAAAAACTACTGTTTTTGAAGGAAAAGGAAAATGAAACTTCACGGCCCTGTTTCACTACAAGAGTTAGCTGCCAACTCTAGCCAAAAGTCCTAAGATGGATTGTAGTTAGAGTATAACAACCGCAACAGTACCACCTCCGAAACCACTACCAAAATACCACTAGTTGCGGCCACCATTCTTGACAAAATTAAATCATTCACCAAGATGGAATTACTTGTCCAGGAATCAGGCTCAAATCCCAGATGTTAACCCGTTCAAGCCACTCCTAAGCCTTGTAATTTTAGACAAATATAATGGAGAGCACTAGTAGAAACTGGTTGTCCTGGACGTCAAACTGATTTTTCTGAATAGAGGAACTCTGTGCTTAAATCATAACTGGTAAGCAAGTTTTGTTAAATCCATCCTGGGCTCGTACTTATATTTAGAGATAGGGAGAATTGGAGTTTTATTTGATGAAACTGCAATCATGTATGGGAGGACTACAGACAAAAAAGCTGTATATTTAAATGCAATACCCAACAGCTTATGGCTTGAAAGCCGTATTGCCTTGTCCTATGGATGGAATTAAGAATCAGGTTACATTCATATAAAAAATTGGATATCATGGCTCGTGTAGTATGCAAATGAAAAAAGAATTACTTTGGAGGAATTCACAGCAGCCGGAATTAGAAGTTTAGCATATAAGGCACGATAAAAACGGTCACTTGCAATCTGATTCTTCGAAGAAATCTGATATAGAAGCATCAATGCCTGAACCCCTACGTTAAAATTTTCAGAATGGACCTGCATATATAGGAAACAATATTGAAAAATGACGAGACAATTGTCCTGACGCAAAGTTGAATCTTAACATTACTGGTTGCAATATCCAGGTTATGAGTCTAATGACTTACCAATCTGAAAAGAAGTGGCGTCTGGGCCTCTATAATATCATCAGCTTCATCACTTGACACATAAGGAAATGCTCTGTTAACTCCCTGTAGAACACGATATAAATATCAGATCCTTATGCAAGGAAAGCTTTTTTTGCATATGCACGCAGCGAAAGCATATCAAACATAAACAGAAAAATAATATCAGAAGGACAATTATTGCAAGAAATTGAGATCTTGGAGTCAATAGGAGCTGTCAGGTGCAGGCTTAAGTTCCACAAGCTAAGTTGCAAATGAAACTGCAAGAATAGATCACAAGGCGCTACAGAAATTAAAAAAAGCCATCACAATTTTGTGGAAATTACTGAACAAAATTCTCATCGAATTTTAGTAACATTTGTATCTTGGAATCCATAGGTACCACTTCTACAGAAGAAACACATGCTTGTATGCACACAGAGACGCCCAATCCTAGGCTAAATTGGGAAGGTTTGTCACAGTCAATTATAAAAAGGGCCTACAAATTTGAATCCTTACAACTACTCATAGTCTGCAAACAGGAACAGGAGGATAGTCATGAGTTTCGTGCCCACAGTTAGACACACCAACTTTTCTCGGGGGAAGACCTATAAGTTACAGCTGTGAAGCTAATACAGAGCTCCATTAAGAAAAAAAATATTTTGCACACCATATGCTTACAGTTAGTAGTGCCGATAAAAGACGAGAATCCATCTCAACATGGGACTCTGGAATTTGCTGCTTCTTATTGCTTTCATTCTTTCCATTTCTCTTGTTGTTTTTGCCACTTTGCTTATCATATTTGCAGTCTTTATGCTTTTTGCCATCACCAGCCTCTGAAATGAGCACCTGAAATACAAGTTGGCAAGGAAATGAATCAGCAGCATTAACAAGAATGTGAAATCGCCAGTTAAAAGCATTATGTATAATAAAATAGAAACACCAATACACATGTGCAAAAAGGTCTTCACATAGATGGCTAATGGAATATAAAATTTTAGGTAGCACAGGCAGTCACATCATTGGAAATTATTATGTTACTGGAGGTTCATCTCAGGATTGTAATATATTATCAGAAGCATATGGACCTATTACAGACCTGAAATGTGAATGACCATAAGAGTACTCCATTTCTTTGCCCGCCAAGTCATTTATACAATATCCTACACAATTGCGAAAAAGTAACATCACAGTTTTCTAAGTGTATGGATCTATCATCTAAAGAACTTCAAAGAGGACCTAATAATTGGAAAAAAAAGGAACGGCAAAACTAATAGAAAATATATAAGCAAGGTGAGGTATTAATTTCTTATGGAACTATCTATTTCTGATACATTAGTTTGCAACAGAACTCACACCACAGCCACTACTAAAGATCAAGACCTATGGTAAGGAAATATGAGCAAAAATAAAAAAATTCACATTCACAAAAACAAACTAAAACCTTAGGAGGGTAAACACTAGAAGCACATTGAAAGGAGCATAGGTAAGGGAAGAAGATCGAGGATGGGAAACACCTTAATGTGCAGACAGAATAACTTTCCAAAAAATGTATCTGTCATTACAAGCGCCTAAGCACCCATCTAATCTTACAGTCTCTCGCTACCCAAAATACTGAGGCTAATCAAGAAAACATTAAACATAAAAGAGTGAATGCATACGGAAGAAATGAATTTATGAAATCAGTCTAAGACAAGGAACTGGGGAGAACTTATTCATATAAGTTTACTTTTGGCGCACGAACAATATATAGCCTTTTCTAGGAGACTAAAATATCATGTAGCCCACTTTCCCTCACTGACAAAGCAAATGAAGTGATAGATTACTGTTGAAAAGGAGGAAGCAGACAATGGCTGGCGATGACTGTTCTCAGGGAGGAAGACGAGAAGAGGATCCACTAAACTGGAGAATATGGATGTTGAAGGGGAGTGCATCATATCAAGGTGATGGGCCAGGCAGCAATGCTAGGTCTGAGCAGTAGACCAGTAAAAGAAAAAGTTCCCTCACAGGGAAGCCCCTGTCCGAAGGAATAGCTCCAAGATGTTAAAAGGGACAGAACTTTGGTCATTCACAAGATGACAGATGAAACCAAGTACTGTTCAAACTCCAAAGATACAAAGTTATCAACCAAATTCTAAGTTGCATGAAGATGGGAATAGCTGCAGATACGAGACATGACAAATTTCTAAAAGGCAGGGTACAGAGACACATATATGTATTTATGCGCGAGTGCGTGTGTATTGAAATTATAATTTTCACAATTAATATTATTTTTCATTCACGTTATTAGGATTAAAATTCCCATATTATTTTTATGTTTTTTTATTATAGTATAGATGTACATTGGACAACCCCACTCATTTTTACCTAGATATCCAAATCTATACTACTTATAAAAGAGAATATCCATGTCAAAAACTTTTGATTTCCTATTTTGCCCTTTCAAAATTTGATAATTCACAATTATACCATTAGTTATAAGTAATCCTTAAATAATTATCCATAACTCTTTATTAAATGCACCTCCTACTCTCTCCCAAAATATTTGGTCAAGAATATAATTATTATCAATAGTTTATAATCTAATACTACAACAGACAAATGCTTAGGTCTATATTTAGAATTTTAGAATGTCAATGTTCACTTTTGGAGCTATCTTAATTGCATGTCGGGGGGCTTGCGACCTACTCTCCTCTCTAAGAAGTTGAAACGACTGTTTTGAGGGACATTAAAGTTTAAGCTATGGGAGGACAAGAGTTTTGTAGAGACAACCTAAGAGGTAGAATTAGAGGATTGTGCACCTCATTCTTCATTGCTTTGTGTCTTTTGAGCACCAGTTGCTAATGAGTCCAACATTTCTAATCAAGACTATAAATTTCTTCTCAAGCAGTCACACAATAGTATAAGACAGTTAATCAAATAATTATAATAACAAGATGTAGAGTCTAGACTTTAAAATTCAATTTGAATCAATGTATAAACTACGAACCAAATTAACTAACAAACAACACTTTTTATTTTTATTTAACTTCTCTTTCATCTCTTGAGTATAAATTAGCTCCCACATTTTCTTCCACTCACCATAATACCTACTAAGTCAAATTCATACAATTACAAGAGAAAAACTCAACTAAAACTCCGCTTGGATTAAAATGGAAAATTTAGCAGAGCACAATATGACTTCTTTCGAGGATCAAATTTCCTCAAGCATGTGTTAGCATGGTATGTTCCTCTATAATTCAATTAGAATTTTGAAAATGTGTTTCCAAGCTTGATTATTGTAGAAATGAGACAATTTGGTATAATTTAAGTTGCTACAATCAATTTGATGATTAGTTTTCTTTTTGATACATTGGGTTCACTCGAATTTCAAAATGTATTATAAAAAGTCTGAAACCAGCAAATGTATCTTGACATCTCATAGATTAAATACTTTTCAAATTCAACCCGCTAAACGCATTTCACAATATAATTTGAAAACACATTGTACCAAAAAAATCAATGATGCTAATATCATGAAGTAGGGGCACAATTAGGAATGCATTAGGCTATTTTTATTACCCTTTTGATGTTACAGTGACAAAGACAAAATAAACTTTTTTATCGTGATTTCAGACAAAAAAATTGAATAAATACTACAACCAATATCATATTCACATGCATCCAAAATAAATATTATATTTTTATTATAAATAAACCCTGATTACTAAATTGATATCTTCTAAAGCTTTCACTTTTTACCTTCTAATTAATAACTCATTTTTATACATGATATTTATTTTTCATTTATTTCTCTCTATTCCTCTCCTTCCAACCATCCGACTTCTATTTTTGAGAATTGAATAGCTTGGGATGGCAATAAAGATTGAATAGATTTCTATGGAAATGCTACCGCAATGATTCAATGCTAAGGTTTGAACTAGAGATTGATAAAAGGCACATGAACGACATAATCAGTGTCTCTTGCAATTGTTACGGAACTTCAACTAGTGACAAGTCCCTATTCGCATGATATATTTTAATCATCCCAACATGTCAATTTTAGCTTTAAGTTTAAGAAATTTATTTATAAAAGTTCTTATTATTTAGCATTTCCTTAAATAGCTTGAATATTAGTGTAAATTGAGCAAAGATGTGTATCTCATCTCTAATATTAAATGTTGCTATTTTGTTTACAGAATAAGTTTGTTCATGCATAGGATTATAATTTTTTCGCCCTATTAGTCCATGTCGGATATCAACTATTTAGTAAATTCGACTCTTTATATCTATATGTTTTGTTTCAGCTTCAAATGTTGATGATTAGTATAGACTTTGATAAGGTATTTAAATTTGAAACATGATATGAATTGACTCCTTTTTTATCTCATTACCCTATAGATTCAGGTCCCTCCGGCTATTGGCCAATCTAATTAGCTAAGAGTCCTAGCACACAAATCTTTTATTACGTCCTTTATTTAGGTTTCATGAATATTGGTAAAATTTAAACCAGCTGAGGTACATGAATCGAGTGTTCTTCATCGATTCACTTCATCATTTTACGGTCCACATTTAAAATTTTCAATGTTAAACAAGTATGCTCACGTGCAAGTGTGCAACGCATGAGCACTTTACTAGTAACCTTAAAATCATAGTTCTGAACTGGGTAAAGACTGGTAAAGAATGAAACGAGCACGACCCATGTCTAACAAGCTTCAAAAGCTGGATGTAAAGTGTAGGATACACATCGAAAAAGTGTGTGGAGAGTGTTTTAAATTTATACACACACATGTTGGGTAAGTGTACGCCTTCATGATAGAAGTACCCATGCAGCATACATCAACATGAATGCATGTTCATCTTATATTTAATGAAGTCTGACAAAGAGAAAATTCGACAGCAAGGAGTAACATAACATAGGATCATGTTCATCTTTTTATCAATGAAGTCTGATAAAGGTATAATTTGACAGCAAGAAAAATAACATATCATAGAATCATGTGAACTAGAATAAGGAGATATTTATCACAAAAATGCAGAAATCATCATATTGACAAGTCCTCTAGAAAGCAAGTACAAATTTGAACACCTAAAAACCAACCTTAAAAAGTGCAAAGTACACGTCTACCAAGCGCTTCGCTATTTTAGGTCCATCTCCTTTTTTGCTAAGATAAAATTGGCTCAAAAAATTAACCTGCAAAAAGGCCAGTTAACAGTATGTCAGCCTTTGATTAAAACTAGATACTAGTTAGAAATAAAGCTTGAACATGCTAAACAGAATAGCAGTATCTGTGAGGAATATGAAAATACAGCTGCACTTGATGTTCATGAATAGATACCAAGCAGTTGGTGCAATAAACAGAAAGCAATACTCAGTACAAGAAAGTGGAAAAGAGTAAGAAGTATAATCATAAATTGCAAAAGCTAATAAGATGTTTATCAAGAATAGGCAATTTAACAAAGGTGTTATGGGGTTTTTGGCAGCAGGGGTAAGTAAGGAATCTAGCTACACATATTAAGTAAGGCAAAAAAATGTATAAATAATGTGAAGCATACAGCTTGATACTTTGCTCGTAGTCCGATGTGTGGCCTAAAGATAAAGGAATCCACCTCCTCGATCACCACTGCCTGCAGGAAGGAAAATGCCAAACAATAGATTAAGTCGGAATTACTTAGAACACTTTATCGAATTATTTAAACATTCTCTAAAAAATTTTAACAAATATATAAAGCCATAAAGGTGACCATTTTTTATCATAAATAACAAAATCTGACTGAAAACAGATTAGAGAGCTTGTACCATTTCTCTATTAGAGAGCTTATAACATTTATCAGTACATGAATCTCCTTCGAAGAGGGGAAAATATCTCCTATTGAAGGCATGGGTATCCTCTTATTTTGTAGTGTATGTAGTGAAAAATGGTGCTACAGATAATATGAAAAGAAATGTGCGAGAAAGCTCATGAATCACTGAAAGATGGTTCTCCATAAACTGAAAGAAACATACTACCTTCAGTTGTTAGTTAAAAATAAAGCAATCTCACTTATGACTTGAAAGAAACAGTTTTACAATATTGCACACTAAATGATAAACTTCTAGAAGCTTGAAGATACTTCAAAGTTATGACTTGAAATTTGAAAAAGCTCTTTGACAGCTCAATCTGTTTGATATGGAAGTGATATCTCAAACAGAACCACAGGACATCTGATTATAATGGCTTCACTCACACTATATAACCCAGTTTATATACATTTGATATGAATGTTAATGACGAGAAAAACCAATAACCGTCTTTGCATAATAGAAGTTATCAAACTCCCTAACAGAATGTTAGCTAGAACTAAAGTTTTCTTAAAAAGGCATTATACTAATTCAAAATAACTTTCGATGCAGCAAAAGCTCATGTCACAAAGGACATGAAATGTGATGAAGCTGGGAATACATACGGGTCGAGTGAATCTGAAATTTCCCATGTTCTTTCTTGTAATATTACCTTTTCTCCAGATTGCAGCTTTGGTTAGCTGCTCCAGTGAAGAGTGCATTTTGAACATGACAACCAAACGTTAAGAGCACCAAAATGCATGATGTTCATTTTACTTGTTCTGTTCCATTACATCCTTCTTGCATGAGACATCCAGAGATTAGGAAACAAGTCTAGGTGTACAAATTAGTCCAAGAGGTAAAACTATGAAACGGATACACAATGGGGCATTGTGATATTAATCGCCTTATACAATATGTTGAATGAAGTAGTACATTATATAGTTGGATTTTGCAAATACACCTAATATAACAAAGGCAGTACAAATACTTTTGTGATATCTACTTTCCATTGTAGAAGACAGGAAAAGGCTTTTTTATGCTAATACTAGTGTTACACAGCACCATATTTGAGGTTATTTGGCATGTCTATTGGTGGGCTATACTAAAGACTTTCCCTTGACACAGAATAAAAAAAGAATGTAATGAACGCATGACATCCCTTGAGGGGTGAAACAGACAAATAAGCTCTATAAAAAGTAAACCCAAAAACTTGACGTTTAATTTTTATTTTACACCTGTCTGCTTCAACATTTTAAGGTTTTTTGGTGTGTGCATATTTACCCTTCAAATCATTCATATAAATCAAATTTACCCTCCAAATCTTGATATTTGCAAATTTACCCCCAAATTCCATACACTGTTTCTTTCTACCCTCACACTTAAACAACATTAGACTTCTAGTGGTAAATTGGTATAATTACCTTTGTACTCTTCCACAATTAACCAGATTTCTAGCTTGACCCCTAAGTAAATCAATGCCTCTTTTTGACACTAAAAGCTGGCGCTTGTGGAGGATTTCAGCAGCAGCGAATTCATCGCGATCGAGGTTTTCGGAGGCAGAGCTATGGTCCAGATTTGGACTCGGAGATTGCGCTTAATTCATTGTTATGCAAGAGGGGAGATTCTAGGATTTAGATCTACATAGAAATAGAATTTGCCAAGAAGTCTTAATTTTGAGTATAAAGAGAGATTTCTCTCTTTAGAGAGCAGTG